ATGAGCGGCTTCGTAAATAATGGAGGGATGAGGAGGAGAGGAGTCAGCAATGCCACCTTGCAGGGCAGTGCTCGCCAACCCTCCCTTTGACGCTATGCAACGAGCTGGCAAGACCTTGCAGGTCTCCACGCCTTCAGCAAAATTCCCTCACACACAGGATCCAGGCCTCCGGCTGGTGGTGCACAGGTCCCCATTTCTCCCCCACTTCTGCCAGAGGAGGGGGGCCCCTGAGGTCCAGGGACTCTGGCCTTTCCTATCACTTCCCTTCTCCCAGTCTGTGGCCTGGGCCAGGTATTCGTGGTGGAGGACAATTTCAGTTCCTTCTTGGGGCTGGCTGGGGCTGGCCACTTCTGGGGTGGGGCAGCCACCGGGGAAGGAAACTGCCTCACACCAGGGTATGGACCACCCTGTCTTCCCTGCTGGTGGCTGAACAAAGTGGGGCATCAGTAGAAAGGGTTGGGAGGCCAAGATCTAAATGCAAGATGGCAGGTCCTGTGGGCCCTTTCCTGGGAGGAACTGGCTCAGGCCCTGAGTCATGTCCCAGTCCCCCAGCATCTTCTATGTGCCAGGCACTGTGTCAGGCGCTGGAGACGCAACAGTGAACAAAGCAGGTGAAACTCCCTGCCCTCATGGACCTACCTTCCAACCCGGGGTGGTGGGGCGGTGTCACAGGTTAGGCACAGAGCCATCAAACCCAGTTATGCCACCTCCAATTGGCCTGTCCTCGTTTTCCTCCTACTTCGTTGTCTGTGCTTCCTCATCTCCTTGGTGGGTCCTCCTCATCTCATCAACCTTCTGAGAAAAGCTCACAGGCCTCCCTGATCTCACCTCTCTTCTCCTTTTGCTCTCTCGTGCTCCAGCCACACTGGCCTCCTTGACATGTTTCTTTCCCCTGAGTCTTCGCAACTGTTGTTCCCTCTGCCAGGAATGCTTTTCCCTCTGGAGATATGCATGGCTTGTGCCCTTATTTCTTTCAGGTCTTTACTCAAAAGCTACCTTCGGTAGGCCCTGCCTAGTGAAAATGGCAATTCACCATCCTCATTCACAATTCACATGCTCTTCCCCTGCTTTATTTTTTGTTTGTTTTTGTTTTCAGTTGAGGCATCCTGCCACCTGCTGGCAGCTCAGCGGCAGCTCAGCTCAGGCGGGGAATTGAACCGCTGTTGCTCAGAGCTCGCACTCTTGAGCGAGCGCTTAACCAACTGAGCCACTCAGCCAGCCCTTCCCTGCTTTATTTTTCTCTTTGACTCCTAACATTTTGTCTAACGTACTGTATGAATGTTGCTTCCTTATTTTTTCCCTCTGGTAAGGGAGGGCAGGAACACTTGCCTGTCATTAAAAAAAAAAAAACTCATTGAGGTGAAATTCACATGACATAAAATTGACCATTTTAAAGTGAATTCACAGTGTTATGCAACCACCACCTCTGTCTAGGTCCAAAACATTTTCATCACCCAAATGTAAAGCCCCTTATCCATTAAGCAGTCACTTCCCACTCTCCCCTCCCCCTAGTGCCTGGCAACCACCAATGGTCTGCTTCCTGTCCCTATGGACTTATCTATTCTGGACATTTCATATTGTTGGAATCATATAATGTGTGGCCCTTTGTGTCTGGCTTCTCCCACTTAGCATAACGTATTTGAGATTCAACCACATGGTAGCATGTGCCAGTACTTCATTCCTTTTTATGACTGAGTAATATTCCATTGTATGGATGGACCATGTTTAATGTATCCATTCATCCCTTGATGGAGACCCGGGTTGTCTCCACCTTTGGGCTAGTGTAAATAGCGCTGCTATGAGATGCGTGTACTTATCTGTCGTTTTAACTTGTATCCTGGTGTCTGGGTCACAGTGGTGCTCACTAAATATTGGCTGAAAGAATGACTGATTGGAGGAAACAAAGGCATTAGGTTCATCAGGGTGGGGTCCTGGGGTGGGTGCGGGGGTCACATGCCTTCCTAGAAGAGGTGACCCGAGCGAGAGCTTGAAGGGTGAGTCCTGGAAGGGACCGGCACATGCAAAGGTTCAGAATGTGGTGCATTCTAGGAACAGAGGGAAGCCAGGTGGCCAACGCTGAGGGAGCGGGGATAGGAAAACTTGTGTGAAAAGGCTGGACGGGTGGGCAGAGGCCACGACAAGTACGGCCTTGCCGCTCACAGAGAGGGGTCCGGACTTACTCCCGAGGCAGCCATTCCATGGCTTCGAGCAAAACAGTGCCATGACCTGATTTGACTTAAGTTTTACTAGGATCCCTCAAGTGGAGAATGGATTCTGGGGATACAGGGGCTGGAGCACCAGAAGGGAGACCTGAGGAGGTTACTGCAGCCAACCTGGCAAGAGATGACAGTAGCCTGGGATGGGGAAGTGGTGGCAGAGATAGAGAAGTGACAAACTCGAGACACGGTTTGGAGGTAAAATCGTCAGGGCTTGGTAATGGTCGCCACAACCCAGTTCTGGTTCTCAAATTCCCCTTTCCAGTCTTTCTGAATTGCTGCCCCTTTTCCAGTCCTCTATAGTTCCAGCTGCCAAAGATGCCTGGCTATTCATAGCCAAAAGGGGGAAACAACTTAACGTCCATCAGTGGATGAAAAGAGAGACAAAATGTGGTCCATCCGTACAACGGAATATGCCTCAGCCATACAGGAAGGAGATACTGACACGTGCTGTAACATGGGTGAAGCTTGGAAGCGTGGTGCTGAGTAAAAGAAGCCAGTCACAGAAAGCCACATATTGTGTGATTCCATGTATGTGAACTGTCCAGAATAGGTAGATCCACACAGACAGGAAGCAGGTTAGCAGTGGCTGGGGGATGGGGGAGGGGATAATGGGGATAATCAGGAGGGGTTACTGGGTGTAGGGTTTTACTTTGGAGTGATAAAAACGTTCTGGAACCAGATAGAAAGGGTAGGTTCACAACACTGTGAATGTACTAGCCATTGCTGAACTGTTCCCTTTATTTATATTTTTTTGCTGGTGATATTTTAACATTTGGGAGCAGTTATCTTTTAAATTTATTTTTAGCTTTATTGAGGTAAAATTGACAAAACTCTAAGGTGTACATTGTGATGATCTGAAATACATATACATTGTGAAAATATTCCTTCATCTAGCTAATTAACACATCTATCAGCTCCCATGGTTATAGTGTGTATATATTTGCACGTATGGGAGAGAACATTTAAGTTCTAGTCTCTCAGCAAATTTCACTTACTCAGTACAGTGTTACCAACTATAGTCACCCTGTTATACATTATGTTCACTTTTAAATGGTTAATTTTTTATATGAATTTCACCTCAACTGAAAAAATAATGACTCGAAAAAAAAAAAAAGGGGGCGGGGGCGGCCTGTTAGCTCAGGTGGTTAGAACGCAGTGCTCAAAACACCAAGGTTGCTGGTTCGATCCCCGCATGGCCCACTGAGATGCACCCTCCACTACTAGATCGAAACAACTATACTTGAATTGGAGCGGATGGGTCTTGGAAAAACACACTGTTCCCCAATTAAAAAAAAAAAAAGATGCTGGGCTCTTGCTTTCTGACTTCTGCCTCTTTCACCTGTAACTCCAGCACAAGGGGCTCTGAGAGCCAAGACTCATAGGCCTCTGGGAAATTTCCTGCACACTAACGCCCAAATGCCTATATGCCTGGCATGTGCCTTATGTGGCACGCGTCTAGATTTGGAGAAATTCTACCTTGCCTGTCCTGCCGGAGGAATTAATGCAGCATCAGGTACAGCTGGATCCAGGGGCTCAGCTGACATCAGATAGCATCAGGTAGCTGTCTCTCTCCACACTTGAACGCAGAGTCTTTCTCATGGTCCACATGGCCCTAAGCAACCCGCCTTGGCAAATACTCTGACCTTATTTCCTACTGGTCTTTTACTTGCTCACTCAACGCCAGCCCCACTGAGCTCTTCCCCACTCACACATGCTCGGGATGGTCCTATCTCAGGGCCTTTGCACTTGCTGTTCTCTCTGCCTGGACAGCCTTCCCACAGGTAGCTAAACGGCTCCCTCCTTCACTTCCTTCAGGTCCCTGATCCTCAGGGACGCTTTCCCTGATGACCTTGTCTAAAATGGCACTTCCAGTCTTTCTAACCCACTGCCATGGCTAATAGTTTTCCTAGCAGAAACTCATCTTATTTCTAGAACTCATCTTATTTCTTTGTTGATGCATTCATTCAGGAACAGTGCCCGGTACAGTGCCTGGCACACAGTACTCACTTAGTGAAAAGCTGTAGAATGAATAGATGATCCAGGTCTGTCCTATTTCTCTCCTGTCCTCAGGCCAGAACCTGACAGTGATTGAGTCCTGGAGGACTGTGGGGAGGCAGCAAGAGCAGGAAGTCAGTACAGGTCCAGGGAGGTGGAACTGTGTTATTTTGGGCAGAAGAAAAAGGACACAGCAATTCCTATTTGCCGAGAGCACTTGCTGTGTGCCATGAACTTTCTATACCGTGACTGTCTTTATTTTACAGATGAGGAAACTGAGGCCTAGACAAGTGAAGCGGTTTCTCTAAGACCCTCGGGAACTTCCCCTCTTCCCATGGGGCAAAGGGTCCTGGACATATAGTACAGGCCTCTGCTGATTTTGTCAGAACGCCCGAAATGTCCTGTAGTCACCTTTTTTTCTATAAATCACACATTTTCAGCATTTCAAGTTAATTTTCAATTTAGTTGGGCGTCCAATGTACTAAACCTGGCAACCCTAGCCAGGGAGGAGCTCGGACTCCAGGCCTAGGGCTTCAGTGAGGGGTCCCGCCTAGGACCCCGATGTTTTTTCAGGGAGAACCCGCCCCTGTCTTTACCCCTGGAAGCGCGTTGACGCTCGGGAAGCCAATCCTCTTTCCTGGGATAAGGCCCTGAAGATTCGAGAACCAGTCGCCGTCCCTTTAAGAGTGGTTTCGGGGGCGGGCTCACGGGGGCGTGGCGAATCCGGGTCGGGCCTGACCAAGCCGGGGGCGGGACACAGGCTGGGGGCGGGTTAAAGGGGTGCGCCCGTGGGTGGCTGACTGTCTGACTGCCTCCGCCTCCCTTCGTCCCTGGCGCGCTCTCCCGCGGCTGCGCCGCCTCGGCCGCCAGGGAGACAAAGCGCCGACGCCGTCCCCGTAGCCGATACCGAGCGGGTCCCGGGCCATGGCCAGGCCGCCCGGCGGTCCTGCGCCTCCCGTCCCGTCGCCGCCACCGCCGCCCTAGGCCTCGCCGCGAGGTAAGGCCCGGCCTGGAGGTAAGGGGACCTGCGGGGAGACCTGCAAAAGGGGACGCGCGGGGCAGGGCTCCGGCCACCGTGGGCCTCGGGGTCCCGCGGCCGCCTGGAGAGACCTCTGATGGGGATCTGCCCGTTTGCGATTACACATCAGTGGTCATCTCCCCATTAGGGACCCCAGCTGCGGGAAGGCGAAGTTGGCCGATGACTCTCCCCCCACCCCCACCCCCCTCCAGCCCCATATGGGACCTCTGCCGCTTTTTGAACTCTGGGGACAAGCCCTCCACTTGGCACTCACGTTCTGCCATTGACCACCCCATCCGGGGCTCCGGCTGCCGTTTAGGAAACTCAAGAGAGCTCCCACACGATACGAGCGGACAGAGGGCAGCTAGGATCAGAGCTGGACATCCAGTCTCTGCGACAGGCAGTGGGACTGCCGCTAGCCCGGCGTCCTGGCGCCCCCGTGGCCCCTGCTTCATGGTTCCCAGCACATGTTTTTCTGCTTGTACCTGCCACACCCTCTCCTGCATGCCCACAGCTAGGGGACCCTGTGGCAGCTGCATTCAACCCCAGGATCTGTGGTCTGGTTTCTCGCCTTGAAGTGTGTGCCAAAGTGCCATACTGCATTTTCCCCAGAGTCCAGGATTCTGGGCCACCCGTGTCCCTGGAGACCTTGAGCTCATTATTTGCCTTTTGGACCGCTTTCCTGAGTGCTCACTACCTGCTAAGCAATTTGCAGAATGGCTCTTCAGGATTAATTTATTCAGCCCTTCCCAGAGGGATGGATGCTAATAGTTTCATTCTGTAGATGAGGCTGTGAAAACCCCAACTCATAACAGCAATATTTTCGGTGCCTTTCCCACAGTTTGCCAGCAGGCTTTCCTCATTTTAGCTCATTGAATCCTCTCCACAGCCCCCTGACAGATGAGGAAACTGAGTCTTGGAAAGGTGAAGTGACTTTCTCAAGGCCCTCCAGCCTGGACTGGAGGAGGCAGGACCTTGGCCTTGGAACCAGAGAGGAGCTGGGTGGGCCCCCTCCAGCTCTCTGCCTGGCCATGAGCTGTGCAATTGGCAGCAGTGCCCACAATGGACTTTGACTGTCTTGGAAAACAACAGGAGTGTGAGGAGATAAGCCAGGGAGCAGGCCCTCCCAGAGGCTAGAGCCTGTGTCCCTGCTGCTTCCTGTCCTCCTACCCCCAGCCCGCCCCCCCTACGCCCTTTTTTGCTGGGCCTGGAGGAAGCAGGGTCCTGTGTCACCAGTGACCTTGACCTGGTTGGCCCCATTTGCTGAGCATGAGGGAAATGGTTCTTCCTTTGGCCTTAATGGGGTGGAGAGACCCCAAGATCAGTCTCTTTGGGCCAGTTGCCTAGAGCATTTGATTCTGGGCACAGCATTGTACCTTTGGCCACATGACTTAACCTCTCTGTGTCTGTTTCCACATCTGTGAATGTGGGATGGGGAACAGACACCCCTTCTCACAGGGCTGTTGAGAGGTTTAAGAAGATGATTGTTTGACTCATTCTACAGGTATTTCGGCACCAACTATATGCCAGACGCTGGAATTCAGATAAAACCCCCCTGCTGTCCTAGAGCAGGCAAAAATGACCCAGGTAATTTCAGGTTGGGGCACAAGAGAGTGACTAGGGGAGTCTCTTGTATAGGGTGGTCAGGGACTGCCTCCTCGAAGAGGTGATGGTCAAACTGAAATTGAAGGGTGAGGAGTCGGCCATGTGAAGATATGGGAAGGGCATTCCAGGCAGGGGGAACAGCTAGGGCAAAGGCCCCGAGGTGGGAACATGAGGAACAGCAAGGAGACGGCAGTAGCTGAAGCTGAGTGAGCAAGGGAAAGGGAACTGGACGCCATGGGGAAGACCGAATTTTATACTGAGAGAAGTAGGGAGCTATGGGAGGGTGTAGAGCGGAGGAGCGGTGTGGTTGGATTTGGTTTTAACAGGATCTCTCTATCGGGAATGGATTTCAGTGGAGGGGCCTAGGAAAGAGTTTGGCTCTTATCCTGAAGAGCATGGTCAGGGAAGGGACAAGGGCGGAGGCAGGGAGACCGATGAAGAGGCCACCGGATGGAGCCGTTCAGGCGAGCAATGATGGGGGCCTAGAGTGCAGAGGTGGCAGTGGGCAGAGATTAGGCCAGAGGTTGGAGGGGGGAATCAACTGGACTTGATGAGTGAGTGGTCATAGTGGGAGTGAAGGGAGAAGCCAAAGGCCACTTGCTGAGACAGAGCGCTGAGGGGAGCATGTGGGGAGGCTGAGAAGAATGTGTCAACAGCTACCACTTCTGAGCATGTACTGTGTGCCCGGCACCATGCTCAGCGCCTTCTGTGTAATCACTGTGTCATTGTTAACAACAACCCTGACTTAGGTGCTGTTATGATCCCATTTTACAGATGTGGAAATAGAGGCGCAGAGAGGCCTACAGCTTGCCTGAGATCACCCAGCCTGGACACTGCAGAACTGACATTTGAACCCAGAGAACAGCACGCCGAGAGCAGATTGGGCAGAGGGCAGGGAGGTGAGTGGTGGCCCGAGAGGTAGGAGGAAAATGGGATAAGTAGGCTGGACGGTTCCTGTGAGAAATGGGGCTGGGGCCCATATAGGGTTGTTGGGCTGTGGGGAGAAATGCATGAGGCCCATTTTGCAGAGAGAAACAGGCCCAGAGAAGGGCAGCCTGTGTCTGAAGTCACACAGGGAGGCAGAGCAGGGACTCTGGCCTTGGCCTGGTTCATAGGTCAGCACAGGCTGACCTCAGCTATGAAATCAGCTTGTGTTGCCTCTTCCAGGAAGCCTTCCTTGACTGCATAGGCAAGTGAGATTAGGTGGATTTGGTTGGAAGCAATCGCCCCCTGCTCCCCAGGTCAGGTTGAGCGAGCCACTACCCATATCTCATTCCTCCAGGCCCTGAGTAAGGCACCACCCAGGCTGGGAAATAAACATTAATTGAACATGGGAAATAAACATTAATTGAACACCTACGACATTCCAGGGACTTCACATACTTTGTCTCTTGGAAAATGTAGCTATTGTCCTATGTAGAGTGAGGCTGTGAAGCAGGAGCATAGGTGGGTCCTCACAGTGACCTTGGAAAACCCCAAGGGAGGGAGTGGCCGCATTGGGGGCCCCCGTACCACCTCCCAATAAGTCCGACCTGACCAGTGTTGCCCCATCATGTGCTCCTTGGGGAAGCTGGATAGAACTAGATTTCTCTGCTATGAGTACAGGATGATGTCTCCCCATCCCCTCCCCATAAGTGTGGGCCAAACCCTGGGCCCTCTTTCTGGATTATTGCACCACAATCTTTTCTGCCTGTCTGACTGCCTCTGCAGCCTCTCCCCTTCCTCACTCTGCTCTAGCCTCACCGGCCTCCTGGCTGTTCCTCAGGCACACTAGCAGGTTCCCACCTCAGGACCTTTGCACTTGCTGTTCCCTCTGCCTTGTGAGTCCCAGGGGCTCCCTCTCTCACCTCCTTTAGGTCTCTGCTCAGATGTTACTTCCTCAGTACAGCCTTTCCTTACCCCCTGTTCAAATCACACTCCCCTCTTGTCCCCAACCCACCTGACCCCCCTTCCCTGTATTAGATTTTCTACAGCACTGAAGACCATCAGGCGGATGCATTTTATCTGTTAATTGTCCCCTTCACCTGCCACTAGCACGTCAGCATCACAAGAGCACTGGCCCTCCATCTTGTTCACTGCTTTATCCTAGTGTCTAGCACAGAGCCTGGCCCACAGTGGGTGCTTAATAAACATTTGATAAAATCCCTACAACCCTTTGAAATAGGGTCTGTTCATAGCGTTGGTTCACGGACAGGCACATCAGAGCTGGGACCTGAAAGGGACCACAAAAGGTCAGCCCGTCTGGTCCCCGGGGATGATGGAAACAGCAGGGCCTGAAACCAGGCCTGGGTTTGAATTTCAGCTCTGCCCAACTTGCTTTGTGACCTTGGGTGAGTCACTAACCTCTCTGCTTTGTTGCCCCATCTGTCAAAGAGGAGGCAGGCTAGTCCCTGCCAACTAAGGTTTGTTTCAAGATGAGTTAAGATACATAAAATGCTTGGCATGTGGTAGGAATCCTCAACATTATTTTGGGGAGGAGGACAGCAGGAGGGTTATGAGCCTGGCTGCTGGGGCCAGGGTTTGAGTCAGACCCAGGTTTGAGTCCTGGGCAGTGTGAGCACGGGGCAGGTAGCACTACTCTTTGAACCTCAGTTTCCTCATTTGTGAATGAAGGGTGTTGATGGTTATGGCAGCCGAGCGTGGTGGTGAGGTCAGGGTGAGGCCCTGGGCGACCCTGGGGCAGTGGCCACGTGAGTGACAGCTGTCTTGGCTGGGGACAGGCCCTGAGCAGCCCCACCCGCTCCCGCAGGCCCCCGCCTCGCCGCCGCCATGAAGCTGAATGAGCGCAGCCTGGCCTTCTACGCCACCTGCGATGCGCCGGTGGACAACGCCGGCTTCCTGTACAAGAAGGGCGGCCGGCACGCGGCCTACCACCGGCGCTGGTTCGTGCTGCGCGGCAACATGCTCTTCTACTTCGAGGACCCGGCCAGCCGGGAGCCCGTGGGCGTCATCATCCTGGAGGGCTGCACCGTGGAGCTGGTGGAGGCCGCGGAGGAGTTCGCCTTCGCCGTGCGCTTTGCGGGGGCCCGTGCCCGAACCTACGTGCTGGCCGCGGAGAGCCAGGCCGCCATGGAGGGCTGGGTGAAAGCACTGTCGCGGGCCAGCTTCGACTACCTGCGACTGGTGGTGCGCGAGCTGGAGCAGCAGCTGGCCGCCATGCGGGCAGGGGGCGGCCCACCCCCGCCACCCCGGCCGCGCGCCCTCCCCTCCAAGGAGAACGGCTGTGCCGTCTGGAGCACCGAGGCCCCCGCCGCCCCCACAGGCACCTCAGCCCGTGCACGGCCTGGTCCCGAGCCCCCGCCACTGCCACCCCGCCGGCGGGCCTCGGTGCCCAGCGGGCCTCTGGACTCGGCCTCCTTTGCCCAGCTGCACGAGTGGTACGGACAGGAGGTCAGGGCCCTGAGGAGTCAGTGGCTCAGGAACCGGGCCCAGCCCTGAAGTGCTGGTGAGGAACCGTCCTGACGGGAAGTGGTCAAAGTCAAAGCCAGCCCTGAGGTCACCAGGGGTCCTGGTTCTGGTGGGACTCGAGTCCCAGGCTCTGCTCGGACAGGCCCAGCCCTGAGAGACTGAGGGACCTGGTCCCGAGGGAAATCATACTCAAGGCTTGAGGGAAATTGAGGTCCCTGTGTGGCCCCCTTTCAGGGGACTCAAGCTCTGAGAAGGACTTGTGTGATTCAGAGGAGGCCATTGCCTGATTCTAAGGAGAATCCTGGGCCTGGCTGAGCCTCAAGAAGCCCGAGAGGGCTGCTTTCAAAGGAACGCGAGCTCCAGTCCCAGTGCAAGTCACCCAGCAAAGGCCCGTTGCTGGCAACAGGTCCTGGCGGCTGTGACTGGGACCTGACGAGGATCTGCGGCCTGAAGGCAACTGCCTCGTCAGCCCCGCTCCTGGTCTCAGCACGGACAGAGAGACAGCTCGGCTGTGCCACGCCATGCCTGGGTCTGACCTCCATTTGCTCCAGGGCCTTCCAGAGTAGCTGGCTTGGCTCCACGCTGCCTGCCTGGCTCCCGAAGCAGCAGGTGAAGAGGTGGGCAGGTTCTAATGCGTAACCGGTATGGTGAGATTGCCTGGTCCCGAGGGCTCCCACCCTGGAGTGGGGCCCAGGTAAGACTTTGCCCTGGGCCGCAGCCAGGCCTTGAGGTGGTACTCCTGGCGCAGTAGTTGCCCTCTGGCCTCGGGCCGTGTCCGTGTTCCTATGGTGGCTCTCACATGCTCTCCTGACAGTCCTTCACCACATCCTTCACTCTCCTTCCCCCAGAGCCAGCTCTTCTGCTCCCAGACTGGGGTGGGGCCTCTCGGGAGCTCACCTGACCTGGTCCAGTCTGGCTGGGCAGCTGTGGCCTGAGCTGACTTTCCGGTAGGTTCCACTAGGGAGGGGTGGCCATGAGCTGACTCACCATCCAGAAAGGACCCCGGTGCTGATCCAGTAGGGGCAGAGAAGCAGTTATAAAGCTGTGTTTGGCTTCTGGAATCCCCTCCCTCCATCACAGCCCAGCCCCCCCCCCCCCCATCTTCCAGTGGGGAGGCTGACTGCTGTTTCATTCTCACCACAGAGGTGGTTCTTCAAGGGAGAATCTCATGGGAGCTGGGACACTCCTGGTCTTCAATCTGGGTCATGTTTACAGTCCTCAGTGCCCTACACTGGGGAGCACCCTGAGGATGCCTCCTCCCAACATTTATTCCCCAGAGGGTCCCTCTTGGTGACAGACCGATTTGGCCCCAAGGCCCCTTCCTGCTGTCTTTAGAGACCCTGGGGCTGGGGGAAGATTGGGGGCTGTCTGTATGTCTGCAATCACCAGCTCACTGCTGGCTCAGTTGACTGGGCTTCCGTTTTAATTTAATTTTTAATACTTAGGTGGTTTTTTTCCTAGCAACAAAGCTTGGTGTTTTCTCTCCTTGTTTCTTGTGGCTGGTGGTAAGGGACGGGGTACCTGGCTCTCGGCTTGGCTGGGGGGGGGGGCGGTGGGCGGTGAGACAGGACAGTTGGCACTGCCCCCAGGGAGAGGGCCAGGAACCTTGGCTGGAGACAAGGCCACCTCAAGAATCTCACCTGGTTCTTTGCCTTTTCCCAGCATGCCCTGCTCTGCGGCAGGGTCCTCTGGGGTTTTGGTACGCTTCCTATTCTCCTCTTTCCCCAAATCCTGAGCAATGGGGGTGGGGATGGTGGCTCCTGTCCTTAGGTTCTGGGTCTCCAGAGGTGTTAGGAGCTGCCCAGAGCCCATGTCCTGGCCAGACCCAGCTGGTGGAGTGAGGTGTTGACCTCAGTCCTGGTGCAGGTTTACAAGCTACAAAGGTACAATGCCCTGGTCTCCCTGGGGGGGCTGGTGGGAATTGTGCCCCCCCACTCCCCATCTCCCAAAGCACAAGATGGGGTCAGGCTGCCTCCAGAGTTGGGTGCGGGAAGAGTTATCAGGCAGCCTGGGAGGGGGGTGTAAAGGCGAAAATAAAAAAACCAAAAGTTTGTCAAGTAGTGGCTGGTTGTGTCATTTTTTTCCCCATCAAAATCCTAGATGGGTATGCCTGGCATGGCCAGGAGCAGGCCCTACAGGAGAGGTGACCAGCGTGTGCTGAGTGCCCCCCCCTCCCTCCCCGGCTGATGGCTCTGCCAGGCACATTCTCACAACCCCTTAGGGCAGATACCAGCCCCATTTTACAGATGAGGAAACTGAGGCACAGAGAGGTTAAGAAATCTGTCAAGTTCACACAGCTGAAAAGTGGCAGAGCAGGCACATAAACCCCTGGAATCCTGTGGAGAAGGGCAGAAACTTCCAGAGGAATACGGGGAAATGGAGTCGCAAAGTTCCTTTTCTGAGGGGAGAGAAGGCTGAGGGAAAGGTGAGGATTTGAAAGTCGACTATGGGCTGAAAGCCTGACAGTTGGGAGGGATGGCAGGGATGGCAAATGGAAGAGGCAAAACCATGTTCTTGATCAGTTCATGGGGCCGCCGAGGGCCTAGAGTGAGGCGATTCTGGCACTAATGCTTGTTCAGAGGGAAAGATCCTGCGATTAGTAATGTCTGTCATGATCACAGGGTGGACGGTGGTGGCGGCTCGTGCTATGTGTCTGCTATAATATCTCAGACTCATGGAGTCTGCTGGGCTAATGGGGGATTCATGGGTGGCAAGGGGCTGGCCCCAAGGTCACCCAGCGTGATGGACTAGGCGCTAGGTCCTCCTAATATGGATTCAGAGCTTGGGTCACATGTCTCCTTTATGAGCCTGGAAAAATCATGCACATTCAGGAAAATGTGGCTTACGATGAACAACCTACAGTCCTCGGTCAGCAGAACAAGTTCAAGAACGAGAAACGAAAAATATTAAGGTCAGGGAATCATGCCACTTGTGAGTATCCAGCGCATGCTGAGTAATTCCTTCCACCTCTCCTGGGACCAGAGCTGACACCCGGGGGCTGGGGGAAGTGGCTCCCCACGCAGGCTGAGTCAGAGCACTGCCTGTGGCATTTGTGACCACAGCCAGCACAGGGCACAGAAGGGGGAGAAATGGCAGCTCCAAGAAGGAGGGCCACGGGTATGCCCTCACCTGCCGGGCTTCTTAGGGCTGGAATGTTGCCATGAATTCAACTGAAATGGGGAGGGGAGACAAGTCGATCAACACCTAAGTGTCGTGCATCCGCCGGCTAATATGTCAGTGTTTCCTCTGGACCCAGGGGAGGTGTTCAGGGCACACATCTCAGGAGGACTAAAATATCCCAGGAGCATGACAAAGTAGAGAAAACAGTCTTCACGCAGACAGTCTGGGGGGTATTGTATGTGCTCAGAAGGAACATTCTGAGAAGCCACTTGGGATGGGGGATGAGAAACTCAAAAGGGGCAATAAGGCCAGAGGTTATGTGCTGGCTGCCCAACATCCATCCACCCTGAAAAGATGAGTCAACTTCGATCATTTGTGCTGCTCCCATCTGACTTGGAGCGATTAGCTAAACTGTAGCTGCTCAAGAATAGCTGTGTGACCCAACTTTGCCCAATGTGATGTTCGCAGAAGCTCTTCTCGCTTCTAAAAAGAGACACAATGGAGAGCTCTTCATTGTTCTTTGGGGGTGAAGTTAAGTCTGATGCCTGGAGCTGTGGCAGCTATCTTGTGACTAAGAAATAGGCGACTCTTAAGGAAAGTATCCCCGGCTGAGTTTAGCACTCACTTGAAAATATCCTTGAACTGCTGAATCAGTGGACTCAGGAATCTGTCCTAATAACATCTTGTTATTTGAGGTAATAAATGGTCTCATTTAAAGCTTTAAGTGGGACATTTTGGTTATGTGCAGCCAGAGTCGTCCTAATGGATAAGCTTGAGTGACTGTGACGAACTGCAGGGCTGCTGTCAGCTTGGTGGGGTGAAGGTGAGGGCTGGAGTGCGATAGCCTGGCACAGGAAACAGGCCGCTGCTTCTCCTCCTTTCCCTGGAAGCCTTCCATCCCTCCTGCTTCAAAAGGGTGAACAAATATCCAAAGAGTGGCACTCCCCACACCTACTTCCAGCCCTATACTTTGTATGTTCCTAAACAGGACTGTTTTGTCCTGACTCTGGGGCTAGATCTGGTGCCAACTGTCCATCCCCCCCNATCCTTCCCCGGATCACCTTACACGGACTTTTGTTATGTAAAAGGACCTGCTCCTTGTCCCAATTTCTTAAAATTGGGGCATCCAAAACAAAACTCTTCCACACGGTAAAATAATAAACTGCTTAAGCCCAGCCGCAGATTTTGCATTTTCTGATGAAAACTTTTTAAAAGGGGAGCCCATGTTCTGTTTTTGTCTTCGGGTGTTAACGCAGTCGCCCGCTCCTGACAGAGGGGTCATGGCTATCTTAGCTCCGTCTGCCCACACTCGGGGCCATGGCTGTGGCTGCTTTTGCTGGGCATAGCTGTGAAAGCACTTGGGCGCTGGAGCCGCTGCCACTGCCCTCTTTTGATTGTCCAGGGGCACTGTTGTCACTGTGTCTCTAGTTGTGGGCTGAGACATCCTGGGGCAGCACGCCCAGGCCTGGAGGACAGGGACGAGGCCTGCTGCCTATGTGCCCCCCAGGGCCTGGCACAGTACCTGGCACAGAGACGGCAATCACTCCCCCCTGCCCCTCAGCCCCTCCCTGACTATAGATGTTCGGGCAGGAGTTGGTCCCAAGACACAAGCTGAGCAGTCAGGGTGCTGGGAATTTTGAATTGGGGGAACAGACTTAAGTTATAAGCCTTAGACAGAGAAGGGACAGATCAAGGCAGACTATGCAGTGCCCCAAAGCCTGGCTGAAATTCCTACTCTTGGATGTCACCACCATTCCCCTGGATCCTTCCAATAAACCATTTGCACACCTTTAAGTGGATCACAATTTCTTTTCACCCAACAGTTCCTGACTAGGGAATATCTGTCCCGAACTTCCATGCTCTCATTTCGACAGCATCCTTCCCAGGGCCGGGCACACCCAGTGGGGCCAAACAAAATGAAATGAATTAGAATTGCCTTCTATTTACTAAGACCTATGATATCTAGTCACCTGGGATGCTTCTTAAAAATGCCGATCCCTAGGCCCTGGCTCCAGGAATTCTGAGTCAGTAGGTTGGGGCAGGGCCCAGGAAGCTGCATATGAAGTAGAAACCAAGGGACTTTAGGACCACAGATTAAGAAATGCTCATTTAATCCTCAAAGAAAGTGAATTATAAGGCAGCGTGGTTGCCAACCTCCAAGGCGGCCCCAGATGTTCCCTGCCTCCTGGTGTCCACACCCTTGTGTATCCCCTCCCACACTGTGTGGCCAGGAAGGTACTGTGGAGGCAACAGCGGAGCTTCCTAATCTACATCACAAAAGACCCTGCAGCCTCTGCCAGTTTAGGGGCCATGTTGTGAGGACCCTTAGACAGCCCTGCGAGAGGCCCACTTGCAGAGAAACTATGGGGCCCCAACAGCCACAGCAGCCTGCCAGCCATGTGTGTGCACCATCTTGGAGGCAGATTCCAGCCCAGAACTGCTTTCAGCCTTAGCTGACAGGACTCAGGAGTCAGAAACACCCAGTCAAGCCACTCCTAAATTCCTGACTCACAGAGATTGAAAGATAAGTGTTTATTGCTTTAAGCCACTAAGTTTGGGCATTATTTATTATGTAGTAATAGAGACCAAATACAGGCAGATGCTATTATGAACATGTCCCTTTTATAGATAAGGAAATTGAGTCTCATTGAAGGGCCCTAGATTACCTGACAGTGGAGAATCAAACCCAGGCCAGGTTAAGTTCAAAGCCAGTGCTTTTAACACCTACAGCCTAAGGGGCTGGAGAAGGTCACAGACCATTGAAGAGATCAACTGTTTTATCCCTTTCATTGAGGCAGACGGGGCAAACCTACCTGGGTGAGGAGTTGCCTTGACCCAGGTCACTTGGGGTGGTGTTCCCTGCCCAGTCCCCACTGCTCTTGGGTTTGGAGGGGTAGCTTTGGCTTCCTGGGTGCCTGCAAAGGCAGTCCAGTCTCCAGAGCAACACACATCCTGGACCTGGGCGACGGAGAGCCTAGCCTTCAGAATGATCTCTAGAATAGTCGCCCCGGTGGCCATGGGTGTGGACAAAAAGAAGGGATTCTGTGGAAAGTAACCTCACAGGGTGATCTGATCATAAATTCCTAAATGGGCAGGTTAGGGTGGGGAGTCTCGCCTAGGCCTCTTAACTTCTGTAGGGAAAGGTCTTAAGCCAGCCCTGTGTTGTGCTTGTGTATCTAGGCTAACACACCTTTGAAATGCCAGAAGTAATACCCCTGGAAGGGGCATTAACCCTCAAGAGGGCACATAATCTTAACTGTCCTGTGATCCAATCCCCTCCTTGCTTTCTCCCACACCCATGTATGTCCCCTCCTTAAATCCCAATGCATAAAAGAAGGTGCAAAACTGTTATGTTCCGGGGCATTTGAGATCTTGCTCCCTGGCATATGTTGTCAGTTTGGCTCAAATTAACTCTTATAAAAATTCTCTATAGGGCCAGCCGAGTGGCGCGTTGGTTAAGAGCTGGCTTGGGACGCCAGAGGACCCCGGTTCGGATCCCACATATGAGGGCCAGTGACGCTGCCCCCTACAGCTAAGATGCTGAACAACAGCTCAACCTGGAGCTGGGCTGCCATGAGTCCCCGGCGACGGTGTAGGCTGCAGCCCCTGCTGCAGTGGGCTGCCATGGGCTACTGTGTGTAGCCAGCAGCCAGCATGAGTGGCTAGCAGCTGGCGTGAGCTGCCAAGAGTCGCTATGAGCGGCCATCCAGAGGCCGGCGACCGATCTGCCTCACCCAGGAAGAACGCAATGATAATACCAACATGGACCAGTGAAGCGACGTCCTCCACAACTAGACTGAAGAACAAAAAGGCAGCAACTTGTCTGTTCCCCTTCCCCCAATTCCCCAGCACTGTTCCCATCCCCCAATTCCCTAATAAAAATCTTTAAAAAAAAAATTCTCTATAGGTTCAGATATCGCTGAGGTTGACATGGGCCGAT